ATTGATATCATAGCAAACGACAAATAAAAAACGGAGTGTGACTGGGTGCTGCACGCGTCAATGTTCCAAAAAAAAAAAAAAAAAAATAGTGCTGTAAATACGATTGGTTTGAAGAGGGGCGAAAAGTAATGCAAAATCAATTGCTTTTGTTAAGTGAAATTTCGGAAATACAAATCTGTGCTCATAATCGTCAAAAGCGACCGCAAATGCAACCACTCCACTTGGCTATTTGTTGCATGCAACGAAGCGTGAAATTTGATTTGATTTGGGAAATTTGGCGGCCCAGGGAAGTGATAAAGAGGATAATGTTGAATTTAATAAAAATATGTAATGTTGAAATGGCAATGCATTGCAGTGTTTGTTTTTAATCCTAGTACGTGCTTGGCTTCTCACTTGGTTTGAAAAAAAATCTTTTTGTTTCTTTGGTGTATTTTGAGACTTTTTTTTTTACTTTTCCTTTTCAAAAGATGCGAAAAATGTTCTGACTACATTGACTACATTCTTTATGCGTGCATCTCTGTGCACCTAAGCATTTTGATTCCAGATTTTTTTCTCATCTTTAGCCACTGCTTACCTTCAACTGACATTTTCACGATTTATTGCGGCCCATTGAAAATGAGGTTATTACAATGGATTCCGTTTGACTTTGCTGAATAGAAAATAAATATTTATCTATGTAGTGCCACATACATAAATTAGACCCAGTGATCTCAATCTCCAAACACATTAGCACACAGTCAAACAAATCGCATACATTTACACATACACTAACACACTAACACACTAACATGCAATAAATTATAAATAAATGAAGTTGCAACAAGATCATCATTTATCACAACCGAATAGACAATCAATTAGCTCGTCTGTACTAAATCTTATAGTTCGGGTATGCATTTGTATGTATGTATGTACGCATGTTCTTATGTCGCTGCTGTTAAGTGTCTATTGTCTTGCAAAGCACTGTGATCTGACTTGTCTAATCCCCCTACAGCACACAAAGAAGCAGTTACCGGAGAATCAACTCAGTGACAAGTAAATAAAGCAGAAAAAAAAAGAAAGAGAAAATCAGCAGCTAGGAAAAATCAACATGAAGAAAAAAACAAGAAAAAAACTTAAAAAAAACTATGTGTATTGAGTGCCAATGGCTACTTATTGTACGAGTTACGCTGACCAAAAAAAAACAAACCGAAATAAAAAATAAATAAAATCCATGAATTATTTTTACAGTTTCATTCGTTGGCATTGCATCTGTTTTTTTTTAAATATTTTGATTTGTGTGTATTTTTTTTTCATAAATATTTACTTCGTGATCTTCTCGAGCCTATTATCGTCACAATTTAACCGCCTAAGCGTGGTTTAGGTCATTGAAGTGTCATATATCTATTCATTTTGATATGCATAACCATATTTTTGCTTTGTAATTTTATTCCCACCTCGATCACTGCAGCGATCTATGTATGTACAATAAGTATCTACAAACATAAACCCCGATCGTGCCACAAATTTGTAGTTAATATAATACGACAACGCCAACGCTGTGTTGTTGCGCTTGATCGGTTTATCGCTTGATTTGACAATTTCAATGGGCGCGAGTAAAATATATCTACATACATATGTATGTATGCAAATTTGTGCTCAACTTATTAAAAAATTTATGGCAACAGTAGTAAAATCGTATTGAATGTCACAAGCCATCGTAAGGTAGATAATAAATAGTTAAGCTTAATAATTTGTAACACAAATTTTTTATTGAAAGATATGCGAAAAGTTCAGGGTCGCACATGTAAATAGTTAGATTTAGCTCGTTGTTTAGTGAGCGTTTGTTTGAGGTCAAGTTCATTTGACCCAAGAATACCGATCATTGTAAATTTTACCCCCATACCTTGTATAAAATACCTTCTGATGGCGCCCTGCTGCAACCAGCGTTCACAGCTTGCAGATAAATGCAGTTGTGTAACAGACGCCGCCACGTTTGAGTCCCTCTCGCTTGCTGTCTTCAATTTCGGCACTTGCAACCAAAAGGAAGCGAGTAAATTTTACCCAGATTTAGAAAGAAAAGGATACTTTTGTGGGTAAAGAACGTGCCCGACGTGGAACTTTTCCACGCAATTTCCTGTCAAATTGAGAAAGAGAAATTTTATGGAAATGGAAAACATCTCTCGAAAGACAATTTACATACATTCAAGGTGTGACTGCTCATGCAACTGCTTTCTGTCGAAATATATTGCATTGCCACGTCTGACAGGCTCCTAACTCTTGTCCGTGGTTAGCAATAGACACGCAAAAAAAGGATTTTAACGGACGAAAAGCTAAACAAAATTACGGCAAATTTGACAAGCCAATACGTGGAGGACATCAGCTGATTCGTCCCCTTGCATTGGGGAAAAGCAATAGGTGTGCAAGGCTGGTGGATTGCATTGCCATTTTCATGGATTCCACAATGGCCTGGTAACCCGCACAGTGTTACCGTGCTTTTAGTTGCTAAAATTTTTAGCGTGTCAAGGCAGTCTCTAACCAGCTTGGATTTTATGGTCTTGTTTGAAAGGCCCCGGATGGTTGCTTAGTTATCTGAAAAGATAACTAGAAAGGCGCGCCTCAAACCCTCTTCAAGGTTTAATTTTGCGCAGTTAAACAGACGTCTTTATTCACGGAATCAGAGATTCCACATATTTCTTACCATGATATCTACCCAAGAATATCTTCATGAAGCTTCATTATAAAGTTATAGCTAGTCGAAATTCCAGCTCCCTCGTGGCTGCTATTTCCTGGATAAAAATATGGAGAGGAGTTCATCCCAGAAGCGACTCTAGAGCCGCAGTTGAGCACGTTCTTATAGATCCAGTGACGGATAGGCATGGCAATCTTTGCAGTTTGTTAAGGCGAAGTATGGCAGTTGTTTGCAGTGCCTTCTGCCACCATGCTAGGAATGCATAAGACATAATCGGACCGACGATCGTATAGCTCTAGAGCTATTCTATTAGCCTTGAGCTCAATATCCATGTTCGTCCAAAACGTCTTCTGCAGGCCCACATGAACCGTGTGGCTCAAGCAACCGTTCTCTCAATTAGGTCTCTTATCTGAGTATTAAAGCACTGTCCCTCCAAGAGGGACCGAACCAAGGCTTGGCTTATACACCGAGGATTTATAATGAGGCGAAGAACTGCACCTGTAATGTTTGAGACAGTACTGCTGAATTTTCCCGTTACCCCATAAGATCGTAACCACGCTCTTGTAGTCTTATCAAGGGAGAAAGGATCACTCCCTGCGGGAATCCTCTTACGGCTCTGATCTTTGCTTGACTATTGCCCAAGGATGATGTAATTACACGCACACGAAGCATACCGTCGATCCAACCAAAAGTAGTAGGATCTAAACCTATTTGGACCAATGCCCTTAAGATACCTAGATGGATAGACAGTATTGTTGTTGCGATATTCTGGGCCTCGAAGGCACTTTCGATCCTGTAAGACCAAGTCCGGTGATTTACCTTTGACATAGGCAAATTGTGTGTGATGTAAGGGAGTGGAAGTTTTAAGTTTCTCCCAAAGATAGAAGTCTAACAATCTCTCTTAAATTTTGAGAGTGAAGGAGGTTAGGCTAAGACCCCGGGACATGGAACTAGCCCTAAATATACAGATCAGGGGATCAATGCTATTTTGAAAGGTTCGCAAGACCCTACCATCCACCGTACCTTGTTCCTGTCAAAGATGGAGTCAGTTCTGCTATGACTTCTCACTTTGGGCAACCTGTGTTCCGAGGAGACAGGAGTCATCAGATCATGCTCCACCGAGCAGCCTAGGAAATGCACTTGAAGCAGGTGATTTACAGTTTCCCTTCGTAAAGGTGTCATCGTGCCTCCTTAGGAGACCTATCCCATTGAGTCAATGGAGGTTTGCAACGAGTCTGCTTTAACATTCACTAAGGTTTTAAAAAGGGCCCAGTCTGTTTTTCTGGGCTGGAAAGTCAAACCTCGGAGTACAGATCGCCGTGAGATCTCGAAGACTATGTTCTGATGAAACGAGGGCGATGCTTCTTCCGAGACTTGCCAACTGGAATTTTGCTATGAAAAAGTTGTCCCTCAAACCCTGAAGACATTCCTTGGAACGTATGCAGATGTCACGAATGCGTAGTTCTATAGGCACCAGATTCAAAATGGCATTCACTATGTTCATTGTACACAACATCAGGGAGGGAAGGGAGATTATTTTACTTATTCCTTACATTGAAATGGATGAGCAAATGGAAAACTTAACTTTTCAGGCTAAGTCTCTGCTCTCAGCACTAACCTCATCTCCGAATAAAATTATTCATAGTGCAGAAAAATGTTATCACGGTGAAACGGTTTACAGCGAAATGATTTATGATAAATCAATAAATTTTAGAGCCGAAACTTTCAACCGCATAATTGGTTTAGTAATGTGTAATTTATGATTTTAAGTTATGACACTGAGGATCATTTAAATAAAATTTTTCTTCACCACGCATTGTAATTGTCTCTTTTCTTCATTTGTCACACGCCAAAAATAAATCAAACAATTTTCGTTTGCACTCAACCCAATAAAAATGCACTTCATCTTTTGTATTGCACGCTTAGTTAGTTGGCTAGCAAGTTGCAATAAAGCGCAAACGGACAGACTGGCAGACGCGCGGGGTAAACAATGCAGGCGTGATTGCCGCAAGCACTTCAACTCCACATAGCCAAACACACTCCCATCGCCAAGTATGCGCGCGCCAAGCAAAACACCCCAAGCCACTTGAATTGCAGCAACTGCCCTTCAGCCTGCCTGCGAACCTGCCCGCACGCCACGCCACGCCACGCCACGCCAGGCCACAACTTCGCCTTCTCACCTCGCGTCTCGCACCTACATACATACGCCTATTCCCTCCACTCAATGCCTCCCACTCTTCACACGCCCTCCCCCCCCCAGTACCCACTGTAGACGATTCCTTGCCGCCTTGGCTCATAATTCTGTGGCAAATTTTGCTCCTTTTTTCACTTTTGCTTGCACCGCAGATATGTACATAGATGACTAGCTGCTAATACCCCTGTTGATGTTGCTGTCGATGTTCTTGTTTGGCTCTGTTGTTAGGCTCTTTAGCCTGGTTATTGTGTGCTTAAGCCTTTTAGAGTCGAAATATTTCAATTTAGAATTAATTACCCGGACCGCCCGTTGCCACATTCGCGGCGTGGCAATTGATTTATGGCTTCATATAAAAATAGTTTTCCCCCCTTTTGCGCTAGTCAACGCTAGACTCTAAAACACTCTATGTACTACTCGTGGATGCAATCTGCCCTCGGGGGCTGTAAGCACATGCGTTTGTAGACTTGAATGTACATATGTATGTTTGTGAGCATTTTCTTATTTGGTGCGTCTTTTTTTAATTCCATTTCTTATTTTTCGATTGCTTGTCTCTCGTATTGGCAGCGTGGCAACTTAATTTGCGCCAAGCGACTTGCTGGTGCGTGCTGTTGTGTTGTCTCTATGTGGCAGCTGGAATGCAATTTTAATTTTTACTTAATTTCTATTTATGCGGTAATAACTTTTTGTGAGGCTATTTTTGAGTGAGAAAATTCCAAAGTTTGGTTTAAATTGTTCGAAGAATTGAAGCATTTTTATAATTTTTGATTTGAATAAAAATATTTGTTAGCTTGAAAGCGAGAAATTTAGGGGATTTAAATAGATTTTGTGAAACTTATTTTAAATATGGAGAATGTTGAAACAAAAAATATATTTATGGCGACATTTGGCTGGGTTGGGTTAGTCTGGCTAGCAATTCCGTGGCTTCGCAGAGACCATTAAGGTCAACATTTTTTGTATTATATAAGCAACGAACACTCACAGAGGATGTGCTTCACACATTTGTTTCGCATCTGCTGCAACCCTTATCGTGAGTTAGTCCTAATCTAGTAAAAAACCTAAAGGCCCAGCTTTCCCCTCTTAAGAGATAAGAAATAAACTTCATTCTATGCTTTCTAGGACACACCTGTTCTGAGCTTTTCTGAGGACTGGGCTATTAGTTGCGGGTGTAAACCCTATCTTTTGCGAAAAACTCTCCATCAACCTGAAATTTTGGCTACCAAATCACTGCAACGTTTTCCGAGAGAACGGTGAGCGACTGTTTGTTTGCCTTATGGACCGCATTGGACTACTACGCTATTAAGCTCATTTGGGTTCCGGGTCACAGCAAAAACGCTAGAAACTGCATGGCCGATGAACTGGTAAGACATGGAATATCTAAGTGCTATCGGGTAGATTAAGTCTGGGGGCTCCCCTAACCTCGTGTACTCTGACTGAAATGCAAAGTGCCTAAATGTTTCTGGCTACGTGTTGACCGGAGGCGCTCCGGGGAAACCCTGAGACTAAGCAAGTTACAACTGGGCATTGTGTAATACGTCAGCATGCGGTAAGGCCGAGTATCTTCAATGCCTTTCAGTGCACCAGGTGCATGAAGGATCGTGAGGAGAAATAATCTCAATGCCTGCTTCTCAAGTATCCTGCCTTTTCAAGCCTAAGGTTCAAGCACCTTGGGTCGCACTTCTTCCACACTCCCGATAAGCTTGCGTGAATGGACACAGATCGCTTGAACAGCTTCGTTACGGGCACGGAGCGTACAAGAAGCCATATATGTCGTCGATCTGTCCCTTCCCCGGTGTGTTTTAATGCGGCCATTTTATGCTAGTATCAATGTATCTTTTTTAGGAAGGCTTTTCTTCTTCACTACTGCCCATCAGACCAGTACCCAATGGAATAGTAGCGGCGTGACGAAGCGCAGCATTTTTTTTCTTTGCTTGCAAATAGTGCAACCGAGATTCTCCTCGTCTATAGCTCTACGTTAAACCAACATGAGAGTTTCCGAACGAGTACAATTCCGAGTTAATTGGTGCCTTGTTTCAGTACTAGGTCTGTCACATAACTTTTGGCTGATAATTGAATTAAGTGTGGACACAAACTTCTATCTTGCTCGTGTCAGTCTCCTTGAGAGTGGGAGTAACTTTGACTCTTGGACATATTGGCCTCGTATCAGCTTTGCATACGCAGAATGAAAACCAAAACCAAAGATACTTCTGTTCTAAGCTAAGATGGGTCTGTCATTGGAGAGTTGAGTAGAATGAGAAGCTCCCACTAAAACAAATAGCTAACTATTTAAGTTCTTGGGGAAACCTATTATGTATTTCAAAGGGATAAAACAATGAAAGAAACGCTGAGTAAATCTACCGAGACAAAAGCTGGCTATGTTGACAAAACAAAACTGCCGCTAATTTTATTATTCATTATGTTAAATGTACTTACACGGGGGAATGTCAGGCGGCAACATAAAAATGCTGGCATGCAACTTGCAACGCATCCCACCTACATACAGCATTTTGGGCACGCGAGAATGTAGAACAAGAGCAAGTTGCCGCAATCCCATAAGCCAACAGATTAAATTGTTTCAGCAACGTTGAAAGTGTTGTAATAATAAGAAGAACAAGAAAAACAAATAACAACAGCTTTTTCACGCATTAACATCATCATTAATAACACAACAAATTTTGAGAAATTTACAACACAATAAAAAAAAAGAAGAAAACACGGCGGCAACAAGCCGAAAAAAGCTTTCGATTCAGAAGAACTTTTAACACCTTCACTGCAGTCGAAAGTCAAATGAATTCGCAGAATGCAGCAGCAATCGAGGTGTAGGTGATAAAACCCCCGTTACAGCTGCTGCCGGCTGACAATGAAGGCGATGATGATGAGGCAATCGGGCTGTAGAGATTTATGACCGATCGCTGAATGGCAAGCAGTGCAAGCTGGTGATTGCCTAACTGTTCACAGCGCGGTGAATGCAGTTCATAAAAATTTATTTTCAAACGAATTTCACTGCCTTCAGCAGCATTGGAGAATGTGCACAAGAATAAAATAAAGCCATAACAAGAACATGACAATGAAAGAATAGCACTTCATTTGCCTAAATAATTCACACCTACACGCAATCGACTCAATTGGCCGTAATTCTGAAAAAGTCATCGCTATAAAAAATAAAAATAAATAAATAAAATAAAAGCCGCGAGTGAAAAAAAAACGCAACGAGCTACAAGCGCCCAAATGACCAGCAAAGGCCAAGGCGGATGCAGGCAGACATGTAGACAAACGCACACACACACACACACAAACGCTCACTTACTTCATCAATGAAAACATCTTCATCTTAATTTATTCTAATTCTTAAAAATCTACAGCTACACAAGCATTTCAACACTTCAGCTTCATTTGCAACACACCTGAGTGGTGGAATAAAGTGGTTGGATAGGCGCAGACGCAACGGTGTGTGGCAGGTAGGAGGTGAAGTTTTGTACAAGCGGCGCATTCTCTCAGAGTGTCAGCGTTGCAGTGAAAGGCCGCGCCAACGCTCGCGACTACAGCAAACAAGCTTGTTTTAGCCATCAAGTTGCAAAATGTCCGCAGCGATAAAGTACTTGCTGCACTTCATCAACGGCTTCCACCTGGTTGTAGTTGTTGTTGTTGTTGTTGTTGCTATTGTGCTTTTTCTGTTTTGCTGTTAAGCAATACAAAACAATTTTTCCATGTACGCATAATTTTTCTGTAAATAAACTGTAATTTTTCACTACGACCACAACGGTGTAGACGAGTGCAGCGCTGGATAGTGGAGCGCTGCTAAGGTGGTCGCAGTGGGGGAATTACGGTGCCACTGCGTTGCAGCAGGTGAAAGTGTGAATCCGGAAATGTGTGTACAGTTAAATGGAATTATTGCTCTTAATGCCAGAATTTGTAGGAAATTCAAATGAGGCGTGAAAAATTTTTGAGGAAATTTAACGAGAGATTTTCATTGTAAAAGGAATTTAATTTCAATTGAAAAAAGTTTAGGAGTTGCAAAATAGTAAGCCCGATTGCAACAGAAAGATAAAAGCTTTATAGGGCCAATATAAGTGAAAATAAATATTCTTAAATCTTAAGAAATTTCTCGAAAAACATTCTGATCCAGCTATAAAGGAAGAACATTTTTTTTATAAGTTAACTAGTAAATTAAAAATAAGTGAAATTTTTCACAAATGATAAAAAAAGCATATTTTTTAAAAGAGAAATTTACTTACAAAAAAATCCTTCCTAATATGATAGACATTAGAAAATTCTCCTAAATATTTTTTTAATAACTTAACATTAAACAAGTA